AAGCCCAACTTTGCCGAACTCGGCCAGATCAACAGTGGTGACATGGTCAGAGGTGTGATTGTTACGCAGAAGGCTGACATTCAGGCTGACAAAGTACACTTCTGGTCGCGGTACTTCACCCCCTGGAATGGCATTGATGAAGATCCAGTGACTGGTTCAGCTCACACTGGTATGTTACTGGTGTTTCAGAATGCAGATTTTCCCATTTAACAGACTGTTTTTGTTTTGCTGGTCACAGTTTTGGCTCCATACTGGAGAGAGAATGAACCAGAGTACCAACAGGTCAGTGGAGTTCTTCTAGCACGGCAATTGTCTAAACGCAGCGGCTTGATGGCCACTCAAGTCAGCACTGATGGACGAGCACTGCTGGGTGGATCGGCCAGGACATTCGCCCAGGGCATATTCAAAGTGTAACACACAATGGTGGTAAAAAGAGTTTATTTCTCTGTTAAAAGAGCAATAAAAAATAATTATTCGTGTTGATTAAACCATCCAGATTAATGTAAGGATTAGATCTTCTGGAAAGCGGCAATGTCAACCGACTGAACAAAGTCCTCAAATGATTCGATCTTCTCGGAAAGTTCTTCAATTGATACTTTTTCGTCTGAAAAATAACAAGTTATTATGAGTATAGAGAATATAAATATAACTGTAATAGATTACCTTCAACAACGCAGACAATCTGCAGCTTTTTGATGCCGTAAGCAAGGGGAACCAACTTGGACACACCCCAAACCAGACCGTCCATTTGAATTGTGCGCACAGCAGCTTCCAAATCGGCCATGTTGGTCTCATCGTCCCAAGGCTTCACATCGAGGATGACGTTGGACTTGGCAATAGTGCCGGGCTCTACAAAAGAAAAGTTTAAAAAGATGATATTCACTTTACCTCAATCTCTTACTCTTGGATTTCTTGGCAGCGTAGGCAGCCAAGCGTTCTTGTTTCAGCTTCTCAGCCGCTTCGTCGACCTCATCATCAGAGCCAAAAAGATCGACGTCGTCGTCGTCATCATCAGTCTTCTTGGCTGGCTGAGGAGCCTGCTTGGGCTTACTTTCGGTCTGAGCCACAGCTGCAGGCTTCGAAGATGAACTTAAATTAAGGTTTGAAATCAAACTGCTCAGCTTTTTGACAACTAGAAGAAATAAAATCTTTAGTTTATTTGTAAAAAAACAATAGAATATCTATACCATCTTCAAGTTCAGAAACTCGAGCTTCGAGTTTTTGAACTCGCTCTTCGCTTGGTCGAGAAACTCCATCTCCACCGTTCTGCAAAAGTTAAAAAACAAAGTTAGAAAACACTTTCAAGGTTAACTATTACAAATATATGGAAGTGATTTTGAGAAGCTTGAAATCTTATTATAACGATAGAAGTGAATCGAGTTACTTTACTCACAGAAGCTAACGATAATTGAATAATTTGTCTTGCTTTTACTATATCAGACACAATAGAATCGTCACATTTAACGTCTTGAGTAGTTGAGCATTTTGGTGAATTCTCTGCGACCTTCTGTGAGAACAGAAACAAGTGAACCCACAAAACGTTAGCAATTCAATGATTAATAATAAAAAGCAAAGGAATCATAGCAAACTACACTAGTGGAACCGTAAAACAAAAGCGTATATGCAAAAAGTACCAAAAAGCTTGCACTAGTCTATATAATGGAAAGATGGCTACTAAAGGCAGAATGAGCAAATGAAAAGGGCAAAACAAGGATATGGTATTTACAGCTTTGGCACCAGGGCACTTTTCAACTTGACGGAATCGAAAGTTGTTGACAGAGTTTGCCTCGGCGAGAAGACCTTCAACAGTCATTGTGGTTGTGTGTTACCTGTCAAGAGAATGAAATTGAAATAAGTGGCGTTTAAAGAAAGCAAACACAAACAGCCTTGCTCTAGATGACTTACTGTGATGAGCCTAGCTGAGATAGCAAAGGTGGTGTACGGTAAAGGCCGAAGATGCGGAGAGAATGAGACGATGCCGGCAAGTCTTTAAATACCTCTCTAGTCTGAAACGTGTAAAGAAGCACTGCACTATCATTTGCCCCAAACACGCAAGAACGAGCGCCTCTCGCGGAATACGCTGGAAGCATGTTGCCATGAGCCTCGCGCTTTGGCCAGTGCATTTTGCAAAACGCCGTTTTGACTCACTTTCGGCAAAAAATACACAGCCAAAGTAACTAAAAAAGTTGCAGTTTAATTTTGACAGACGGCGTTCGTCACTGAGTGGCAGAGACGTACTTAACCGTGACAAGCCCGCCTAAAAGTACGTTCATCTTTTTGGAATTTTAAACTTTATCTTGTTATCCGATTTATTCTAAACAATTTCAACATTTGAAAATATCATAGAGGGCAATAGTCCTTTTATTTGGGCCAGTAAATCAAAATTAGATCTGGCGATCCAAAGAATGCTGCATTTGTTCAGCCTTGCAACGACATCGTTGAATGGGCACTGACGTTCACGTGGTCCAAAAGCACGCTGAATTTGTTTTGATTTTACCTGCCGCTTTGACTATCTTTTTATTGAAAATACCAAAATGGTTTACAAAAAAATTGACAACCGGCTGAGGATTTTGATGGAAAATGGAATCACACAAGGTCATCGATCCATGTTTCTCATTGTCGGTCCAAAGGCTCGAGATCAAGTAAGAAAAACATCACATTTGTCGTAAAAATCATTTAATTCTTTTAATGTATTTTTTGTCAGGTTGTCATCCTTCACCAGATGTTATCAAAGTCTCAAGTCAAGTCTAGACCTTCTGTTTTGTGGTGTTACAAAAAAGAACTAGGATTTTCTTCGTATGTTTTTTGCTTTACTCAACTGCAACATGTTGGTAACTTTTCTGTTTTAGGCATCGCAAGAAGCGAATGAGAATTCTGCAAAAGAAAATGAAGCAAGGCGTGGAGCTTGATAACTTGGAGGACATGTTTGAAACGTTCATTGCTCAGACGAATATTCGGTACAGCTACTACAATGAAACTCATAAGATTTTGGGCAACACCTATGGTATGCTGGTCCTGCAAGACTTTGAGGCAATCACGCCAAACATTCTGGCGCGAACGATTGAAACGATTGAAGGTGGTGGAGTTATTTGCCTGCTGCTAAACTCCATCACATCGCTGAAGCAGTTACATGCAATGACCATGGACGTACACTCGCGCTACCGCACTGAAGCTCATCAAGATGTGGTGGCTCGCTTCAACGAACGTTTCATCCTTTCAGTGGCTGCCAGTTCGAGTTGTGTTATTGTGGACGACAAGCTAAACATTCTTCCAATCTCTTCGCATATTGCTGAAATTACCCCTGTCCCCAAAATGGAGTCAACAGAACTCACTCCAGAAGCCGCTGAACTGGCTGAACTGAAGGACTCTTTGGCTGAAACCCAGCCAGTTGGCTCGATTATCAGCCAGTGCAGAACACTTGACCAAGCCAAGGCGGTGTTAAAGTTCATCGATGTCATCTCTGAAAAGTCGCTCTCCTCCACCGTCTCTTTGACTGCAGGCCGTGGTCGTGGTAAATCAGCCGCTCTTGGACTGTCAATTGCAGCGGCTGTGGCGTTCAACTACTCCAACATTTACGTCACCTCGCCGACGCCGGAAAATCTGCAGACACTCTTCGAGTTTATCCTAAAAGGATTTGATGCAATTCACCTGAAAGAGCATCTTGATTACGATATCATTCAATCAACCAATGCCGAGTTCAACAAAGCCATTGTTAGGATCAACATTTTCCGCCAACATCGACAGTGCATTCAGTACATTCATCCTGCTGATGCTGCCAAAAACAAATTACTTGGTAAATATTTTAACTTGTTACTTTTGTGAAAAGCCTTGTCATTCATTCTTTGCTTTAATTTAGTTCAATCTGCCGAGTTGGTTGTCATTGATGAGGCTGCAGCCATTCCTCTTCCCATAGTCAAGTCACTGCTAGGACCGTACTTGGTGTTCATGTCTTCGACTATCAACGGCTACGAAGGAACAGGCCGCTCACTGTCTCTCAAGCTGCTCCAGCAACTCCGCCAGACAAGTGTTCCCGGGGCGAACAATAAGGCCAGTGATGCCATGCAAGGTCGAAACTTGTTTGAACTAGAGCTGAATGAGTCCATTCGGTACAACAACGGTGACCAAATTGAATTGTGGCTGAACAAGTTACTTTGTTTGGATGCCTCTATCATTGACAACCCTGTCACCTATGGCTGTCCAGTGCCCACTGATTGCAACCTGTTCTACATCAACCGAGATACGCTTTTCAGTTACCACAAAGCATCGGAAAACTTTTTGCAGCGAATCATGGCTCTCTACGTGGCTTCTCACTACAAAAATTCTCCCAACGATTTGCAAATGATTTCAGACGCTCCTGCTCACCATCTCTTTTGCCTTCTTCCGCCGATCACTGCGAAGCACATGAAGAAGGTGAAAATACCAGACGTGCTGTGCTTCATTCAGGTGTGTCTGGAGGGAGAAATTTCGCAGGATTCAATTAAAGCCAGCTTGTCGCGCGGCAAACGAGCTTCAGGTGACCTGATTCCCTGGACGGTTTCGCAGCAGTTTCAAGACCCTCACTTTGCGTCACTCTCTGGTGCTCGCGTAGTTCGAATTGCCACCAATCCCAACTACCAGGCAATGGGCTACGGAACGCGTGCTTTGCAGCTTCTCGAGGACTACTATCGCGGACAGTACAACGTTAACCTGGTGGAAGAGGGCGGGGAGCCAGTGACTGTTCAGGAAGAGGATGGTGAGGCTGAAGGGCAAGAGATCAAAAAGATCAATTCGCCACTTTTGCTCAATCTCAACGAGAGAAAGGCAGAAAAGCTCGACTACCTCGGCGTCTCCTTTGGCCTGACCCCCGAGTTGCTTAAGTTTTGGAAAAAATCAGGCTTCACGCCAGTTTACCTACGACAAACACCTAACGATCTCACCGGAGAGCATTCGTGCATCATGCTCAAAGTACTAGGCGAAGATGAGCACTTAAACGGACATGTCGAGGCGAAGGATTCAGAGGAACATTCTGGCGGAAAAAGCGCGCTTTTCAATGCAGACATTTCACTGAAGAACAATTGGTTGCAGGCATTTTGGGTCGACTTCAGAAAGCGCTTTATTTCGCTGTTGTCTTACCAGTTCAGCACATTTTCAGCTGCATTTGCACTGAACATTCTTCAAAATTCCATCAAGCAAGCCGAAGTGCCTGAACTGACTCGTGATGAACTTTTGAAGCAGTTCACCACATATGACTTGAAGCGTCTCGAGCTGTACTCGCAGAATCTGGCCGACTACCATTTAATTGTGGACCTATTGCCCGCAATTGCGCATCTTTATTTTCTCGGACGCTTTGGGCCTTCTTTTCGCATGTCGCATGTTCAGAATGCCATTTTGCTAAGCATTGGACTGCAGCACAGTGATGTGGATCAGATCTCCGCCCAGTTGAACTTACCTTCAACTCAAGTATTGGGCTTGTTCAGTCGATCTGTAAAGAAAATATCCAACTATTTCACTTCATTGCGCCAGAAAGAAATTGAAGGTCAGTTGAAAATGCGAAATGTTGGTCAGGGCAATCTGAACCCACTCAGCCAGTCGCTGGAAGATGAACTCTCCGAGGCAGCGGATGTAATCAAAAAGGCTGAACAAAAGCAAAGGAAAGCCTTATCGAAAGATCTAAGCCAGTACGCAATTAAGGGCTCAGAAAATGATTGGGAGCATGCCCTCAAAGGAACAAATCAGACTCTGGTTTCGATTAAAAGGTTTGTCATCTTTTTTGTTAATTATTTTCTTCATGTCAATTTTGTTAATCATTTTGTTTTGCCTTTTTGTTTTTTTCTGTTTTACAGTATCGGCAAGCGTCCGAATCCGGAGCAATCAACCAAAAGCCAACCAGAGCAGTTCAAGAACAAGCAAAAACCGAAAAAGTTCAAAAAGAAGCATTGATTTCCTTGATTTAGTTCCAGTATAGAGTGATTTAATATTTCGCATGTTCATAATCAATCATTTTGTATGTGTTCTGGTATTTGCTGATTAAATTACTCACACACACTCGAATCGGACAATCATCATTCATTTCCGGTAGGATTCGCATCGCTAGTCTATGCGAAAGTGACACAGTGGACAGTTGTTGTACTGCTTGATTTCCGTTTTAATGGCCTGGTGGGCGCACTGTTTGCATGTCCACTGATGTCTGCTGTCGAGAATGGACTTGCCGCTGACGATGCAGGGCAGAAACTTGGTGCTGCACTGTCGGCAGGAGATGCTGTAGTCGGGTATTGAAGTGCCGCAGAACTTGCACTCCACCGTCATCTCAGTGCCCTGCCTCTCCTGTTCATTGGGCGAGTTCACGCCGAATATCTCAATTGCCAGCTTTTCGTACTTTTCCCGCTGCTCCTGTGAGATGTCCACCCTGTCCAGGTCCTCACTGTCTGGCTCGCCAATCAACACGGAGGCATTCCAGTTTGGCTCACGGCTGTCAGTGCTCATTGCCTCCAGTTTGATGAATGCTTTCGAGCAGACGGAGAATGACTTGCAGCTGTAGCTGGCCAGCGCTATCAGACTGTAGATTTCCTCATTGCTGAGAAACTCTTCGTAGTCCTGCAGGTGCAGTGCCGTCTTCATTGCCAAGTCGTAGTAGCTCTCGTACAGGTGCCGTTGGGTCAGCAGCAGAAAGTGGTACGCCTCAGCTCCTGTGGAAAGAAGAAGAGAGTTGCAGAACTGTACTCTATCACCGAATGATGCCATACCTTTCCACGGATCCTCTACCATCTTTTTGTCCAAATCAGAAGGAATCGCCTCATCGGTGGTGAGAAGGTCATCTAGAGCAGTAGAGGTAGCGCCTTTGTTTGCCTTTCTGCGTCCCTCTTGATGCAGCATGCCAATGAGCACAAAGAGCTTCTTGAAGAGTGCCGCATCACCCTTGCCCGTCTTCTTCAGTTCACCAATCAGCGTGACCACCATCGCCGAGGCGTTACTGATCTTATTGGCCTTCCTGAAAACAGAAAACCGTAGTCACCCTTTTGGTTCAATCATTATCCTTCTCTTCCTAATGTGCCTTGCCTGTACACTTCAACAATTTCGATGTACTTTCGCTCGAGCAGAAGGTGGTCAACGTACTGACTTAGAATGGAGTCAATGTGTTCGAACTTGTGTTCATGGGCCAAATCAATGGCCAGCTTCCACTCGCTCATGGAGACGCACACTTCAATGGCGCGCTCTACCTTACCCGCCTTCACCAGAGCCCGGGCGCTGTCCTTGCACAGGCCCATTGACTGGAGGAAGACTCCGATGTCAGTGAGGAGGGCACTGTCACTCGAGGTGATTCGGTCAATGAGTCGCACCAGGCCATTGTAGTTCTCCAGGTGTATGTAACAGGGCACCAGTTGCTGGTACGCGGACACCTTCTCAAAGTTCTCCGCAGCTTCCGCCCACTGACAGTGATCGGCGTGATACTGTGCCAGTTTGTATCGCGCCGATTCGACTTCTTTTCGGTAGTTGGCAATTCGATACTCTGTAATCAGACAGAATGATTATAAATATCAATCATCAAATAAGTGCACATTGCATTTCTTACTTTCCAGCAACTCAAGCACTCTAGAGTACCGCCCTAAAACTTCATTCATATGAATAGCTAGTTCAGGTCGATTACGTTCAATGTAAATAGTCTCTGCCTCTTCAAACCGATTCAGGTAGGTGAGCACTTGGGCTAGCTTCAGATCATCGTCAGATAGCTTGTTGAGCTTCTTGATAAACTGCAAGCCTTTGTAGTCCTTGCACTTCACCAACGCCAAACTGGCCGTGTCCAGCTGAAGGCTATTCAAGCTGTGCTCGGCGACAATGTTCCACAAACTAGGCAAGCTTGCTCCCTGCAGAATGTAGTTGACTGCATCAGGTAGCGACTCGGCCATAATGTCCTTTAGCTCACGAATCGACTGCGACTCCACCTGGTCTATGTAACTGTCCACCGCCTTTTTCGCCCCTGTTCCATTTGCCATTGTATCGACAATCAGACTGTCTAGCAGAAGCGTCTTCACTCTGAGCTGTTCGAATGAGCAGATGTTGCCGTTAGAAAGAACGGGCTCTTCTCGCTCCAGGGTGCTCGAGTTTAGAATGACCAGTCGGCTCTTCTCGCAGACCGCCAGCAGGTCGGCACTGTCGGCGGCCCAGCGCATGTCCCAGACGTCCTGCAGTCTGACATCGAGCCAGTCGCCCTCAGTGCCGGTCTGTTCGTTGGTGGCGTCAAAGTCGTAGATGTACAGCTTCGAGGATTTGTCAATCAGCGACAGCCGGGATGAGTTTCGGTTCATCGCCAGGCGGTAGGGAATGCAGTCGGCCACTTGAATCTGATGCACCCGAACTGCATTAGGCAGCAGAAATTGATTTATGACCCCCGACTGGTTGGCGACAAGCAAATTTCTCTCCGATGCAGTTATGCATGAAATGGGATCGGAGCGCGAGACCAGCGTCGCCGTCGCCGTCTGCTGACTGTGCCCACCCTCCAGGCGCTCTCCCCCGGCACTTTGTAGTGCCAATTCATTATACAACCGCTCACTGTGGACATCTGCAAAAAGAAAAAAAGGGAAAAGATGTGCAAACCGTCAGAGAGCGACGCAGCGGAAGTACACACATGAGCGCAGTGCCGAACACTGTCTCTCTCACACACATTTTCACTCACTCTTTAGACTGACAGTGCCTCCACTGAAGGACTGATTAAACGTCCACGCGTAGAAAGAGTCATCCGAGGCGACGATCATTTGCGTAGAGTTGATGCAGCAGTGGCGCACTTTCATGTTCACCAGGTGCCGATCGATGAGCGTGCCTATCGAGTTGTACAGTGCCAGAGAGTGGGTCTGCTCAGAGTTGCTGCGCTTCCCTTCGGCAGTCGATTGAGCACTGCTGCCCCCGCCGCCGCTGCCGCTGCCACCAGCCCCACTGCCACTGATGATGCCCCCTTGTTCGACCTTGCTGACCACGGCACAGGACTGCATCCAAGTGGCCATCTGACAGAAGTTGTTCACCTCCTTCTCGTACGTTTCATTAGTTCTGATCTCCTTGAAGATAAGTCGTTTGCCCCTTCCATGGCTGGGAAGGGCAAAGACAATGGCGTTGGTGAGGTAGCCCCAGTCGTAGTTGGGCTTTACACTGGCAAAGAAAATGTACGTATCGACTGCGAGCGCCAGCTTGAGTCCGCTTTTATCCCATGAGCAGTCGCAAATTTCACTTCCAGGCACTTTGACCATCTGCAGCATGTCCCCCTCGTTGCTGTACAGTTTAAGAAAGTTCTTTCTGCTGCCATCCTCTGCCTGGCCACTGCCTTTTTGTAAAAAAAGATAAAAATTAGAGGTAAAAAACTTTAGAGATTTCCAATACCTGTAACGGCAAACATATCACCAGCATTGTTCCACTCTACCGAACTAATTTTCAGTTCAGTATTAATGAGCAAAGGAAAGTCATCCGCTTCGTGTTTCATCAACTGCAACCAGCCATCTTCAAAGGCCACAATCAGTGGATGGTCGATGGCACTGTTCTTGAACCACTTTATGCTCACCAAGGTGGGCACCTCTTTGTAGGCATTTGCTCGGCCGTACAGTGCTTGTAAAGTGGCAAGGGGCACCTTCTTCACAAAGTTTCCCATATTGTCAAAGCACTGAACTTCGAGTTCGTTTGTTCCAATTAAAATGGTTTTTCCATCTGGAGACCACTCAACTTTTGACAAGTTGGCATTTTTTATATCTTTTCCCCAAATACGATTTCCATCGACAGACCCCGTAATAATGGCCCCATCTGTAAGAAATGCTCATAAGAACTGCTCATCTCAGCATCACTTGGCTGGCACTTACCATCATAAACAATGCATATCTTCTGCCCATCAAAAGTCCAAGCCATGCCGGTGACCAGTGACTTGTTTCGATTGTTGACCATCTCTTCGTACCACATGCCCTTATAGAGCATCCAGACGATGATGGAGCCTGCATCGTCACTGGATGTCAACTTCTGAAATGGCTCATTCCAGCAGACATGCTGAACGGTCGTCTTGTGGCTTTCAAGAGTTTGATTATGTGAAAAGTTGCGTGCATTATCGCCCTTGTTCAGACTGTTCAGATTGGCCTCGAGTTTGATTACCTTCAGCACGCCATTCTCCCCACCACATGCTATAAACTCGTGGTCGCTGCTCCAGGAGATGGTGCGCACCTTGTTGCAGTTGGGCACGGTTATCTTTTTGTTGAGATGAATATACATGCTGTCTCTTGGAAAATCTTGGCCGAGTTGTGATTTGAATTGCGGCACTCAACAAAGACCGCCAACAACAAAGATGTTGCCATCGCAACGGCGACTTTGTATTTTATATTTGTTTCACACATTGAGTTTGACTATTGCACAACTTCTTGCAAATTCTTACTCTTTGTTAAATACATTTTAAGTTGTTGAAAATTAAGATAGTTTTAAAAAAAAAGATTAAAAGTTTTCAAACTCGCAAAAAAAAGCTCATAAACTAAAAACTGCAGGAGCAAGAGATGGCAGCAGAGTCTTAATTTTTGTAGCAAAAAAATCGCCGTTTGAAAACATGGACTTTGTTGTCATATGTTCTTAGGATGACGATAGCATACTGCCAACAGATATGCGAATTTGAATCGCTCCAGAACAATGGATCTTTCCTGTCAAATTGGTCTCATTTGCCTTCTCTCCGCCGGTGGAGGCTATCTCACCTGGAAGGCCATCCCTCAGCTGGAGGAAAAGTTCATCAAAGCCGGTCTATGTGGAATAGATCTGTGCAAGAAAAATAAAACTCGGAAAATGTATGTACTGAAGCGGGTTTTTGCTCCAAACTTTTGCATTTATAAACCATTTTTTGTAGAGCTGAATCACAAGGTGCTGTGGCAGCATGTATATACATTCTCATTCTCTTCACCTTTATCCCTATTCAGTTTCATGAGTCCGACACAAGTTCTAGCAACTTTGAGCTTGTAAGTTTTTTGTTGTCAATCTTATGAAACTCTCACCGTATCTTCTTCTCAGTTGTGCCAGTTTCTCGGTGGCCTTCTTTCCATCGTCTGTATGATGTTCTTAGGATTCGCCGATGATGTGCTTGACTTAAGATGGGGTGTCAAGCTGTTCTTGCCAATGGGAGCAAGTATACCTTTACTGGTAATATACGCGCTTACCTATGCAAACACGACGATAATAGTACCAAAGCCTCTTCGATACTGGTTGGGCTTTAGCCTAAACTTGAGCTACCTGTACTACCTCTTCCTCATGAAGTTGGCCATTTTTTGCACCAACGCAATCAACATTTTAGCTGGCATCAACGGCATTGAAGCAGGACAAAGCATCATCATCGCTTCATCCATAGTGTCGTACAATATAATTGAGTTGATTCGAAGTACGGACCACTGGCAATCGCACATCTTTTCACTGAACATGATGCTACCCTACATCGGAGTGACCGCTGGTCTTCTCCGCCACAACTGGTTTCCTTCGCGTGTCTTTGTCGGCGACACGTTCTGCTACTTTTCAGGCATGACATTCGCTGTGGTGGGAATTTTGGGGCACTTTAGCAAAACAATGCTCCTCTTTTTCATTCCCCAAGTGGTGAACTTTCTCTACTCGTGTCCTCAACTATTTAAATTTGTTGACTGCCCCCGGCACCGGCTTCCCAAGTAAGTTACGGTAGTTTGGAAATGGTCACTCAACGATTTTGCTCCTTTGCTACCAGATATGACGCTGAAACCGACCGCCTTGTTCCTAGCACTTTCACCATTGATACGCAGAAAATCGGCACTCTTGGCGCCTTGATGATTCGAATACTGCGAACACTCGGCCTTGTTAGCTACAAGCAAATAAGCGCAACAAAGTATGAATGCAGCAATTTGACTATAATCAATTTGGCATTGGTTATTTGTGGACCTACTCAAGAGGGCCGACTCACCTTTCTCCTGATGGTTGTTCAAGTCTTTGGCACCTTGGTTGCATTTGCTATTCGCTACGGTCTAAGTCAATTGTTTTACTAATTCTATTGTGTTATTTAAAATTGTCTACTTGTTATACAATGAATTCGTTAAATGGAGAATAAATTTCTGTGGGAAGAGAAATAATTTTGCCTCCTCCTCCTAGACGATGTGCATTCTGTTGAGAAAGCTTTTGGCAGTAGGTGTTGATTGCGTTCTTTTCACCTTTTCGGCATTGCACTTTGTGTGGTCCCTTTTTATAGAGCAATTGAAATGCACTTGCTGAAATGTAGTGAAGATGAAGGCGAGAAAGTGAACACTGCAAAGACGGGTTCTTTTCTTTCCACGTCTTGATTCGTTGACTCATTCGAATGGCCATTTGGTAGATAAACTGACAGATGTGGGCTCCCAAGTTGTCATGACATTTCCTCCAAGTGGGTGAAACACAAAGAAAGCTGACGAAGCGGAACGCTTGCAGTAGAAAACGCTCAAACAGATTGACCACAATTTGATCAAGCGAACAAACTCGCTGATCTACAACTTCAGGCCAAATGTAACTTTGCATCAAGTCTTTAAAGAAAGTAAAGTTGAGTAAGTCAGTAAATTGAGATCTTACTTTCTGTCATGATTACTTACTTATATTTGCTTTCATTATTGAAAGCAGAGGGGCAAAGGGGTTGCAGTTAAACGTGTCGGCGATTCGTGAAGATTTAAATGAATCAAAATCCAGAGAAACTGACAAGTCTCGAGTTAAAATTTTCCGACCAAAAAAAGAAATTTTCAAATCGTTGTCTAGTTCTCCCGTTTCAAAATTAAAATTGGTGGTGAATTTACTTGTGTTAATCTTAAGCCCCCATTCTTCAGCAAAACTTTTTTTGCAAACGATAGTAGAAAAATCTTTCGCCATCTGTAGATCTCTCGTGACAAAGATAAAGTCGTCGGCTACGCGCAGGAAAAAGTGGTTTAAATCGGTGACCGGCTCAATGTGCAAAAGATCGTTGAAGATGTGATGAAAAAAGTTGCTCAAGTAGATTTCGCAAATATCGCTGGCCAGAGAAGTTCCTTGGCGAAGGCCCTTCTTTATTTTGTAAACCCTCTTTTTGCCAAATCGAAATTGAGCATTTTTGGATAAATATGCTCCAAAAATGTCAATTAATGAATTGAGGTCGATGCACTTGTTTTTGATGGACGAGAAGACGTGCTTTTCAAATGAGTTAATCGACAATTGCTTTGATATCAACTTTTTCAATCGTGAAAAATCGCTGCTAGTAAGAAGACTTTGTGATTTTGACATTTTGAAGTCCGACAAAGGTGGTTTGATCACAAAATCCCTTCTATGTTTGTAGAAATTCCCTTTCTTGCAATAAATTTCAAAAAGTTCAATGAGTAAATTACGCTCCTCATCCGGGCTAACCGTTGATGGTGATATTTGCAGTATCAACTTTAACAACTTAGTAAGATTCATCGAGGGGTAACAGTTTTCAAAATCGCCTCGAATAACGTACAAGCCACCGTCACCAGCACTTTTGTCGCCATTTTTCAGTTGGATAATTCGCTCGTAAATTTTGTGGGCTGATCCTCCTTGGCTGTCAAAAACAGGACCTTTTGTGGCTCTTTTCAGTAGCTGCAAAACAATACGTTGAATATTTTTGTATTCGTTTTTCGACTCATCGTGATGGAACTTTAGGCTCAATATTGGTCGGAGACAAGACTTTTTGGGTATCAATCGAAGTTCAGAATATTTCAAGTAATCAGACATGCTCATACACTGGTCTCTGCCGTTGCTAAAGTCCTTTATCAATGTACACCATCCATTTTTAACCATCAATTGCTTCATTCCTTGAACTCGAATTCGCATCCACAAATCGTACCGATAAAAGAGCAGAGAAAACTTGTTATCGTGGTCACCCTCTGTTATGTAAAACTTGCTCTTTACTGCGTCTGTGATACGCTCAAAAATCCAGAGAAGAAAGCGCGCCTCAATGTTGGCTTTGGGAGTGTAAAAGGGCAGGTCGTCGAACAATGGCCGCATCTCTTCCACATCGATGCCGTTTAAGATATCAAAAAGGCGAAACTTGACCGCCAAACTTGCTGTGAAAAGCACCTTTAAGTTTTCAAAAAATTTTTTTTGATTTCTTGCACTGCCAAAAGTTTTAACTGGAAAGATGGAATTGTAGACGGCGTATATAAATTTGAAAAGGTTTTTGAAAGTGGTGTTCATTTTTAATAAAATTTCCAAGCCAAGTTCCTTTTGACTATAAACCGACGGAAGCGGGCAGTGCGTCTTGAAGAGGTTGTCAAGTCGCCATTGTGAGAAGTTGTTACGAATAGTTTGAAACCATTTTTTTAGTTTCACGTTTTTAATTTCATTAACTTTAAGTTCTCCGGGTTTTGAGATATCTTCCAGTAACTTTTTGAATGATGATTCATCGTCCTTACAGCTACTTATTTTCGAGAAAGTCATTTTTCCACGGCTCCTTCGCGAATACAGCAAATTAGTACGTTGTATCACTATATTTTCCTTCTTTTTGTTTACCAGTTTCAATTCGTCAAAAATTAGTTTCTCCACATGATTGTCACCTTGAATAGTTTCGATAAACTTTTTGAAGTTTTCATGTACTACAGAATCTTTGATGGAAAACATTTTATAAACATGTTCCTTCTGTAGGCTTTTGTAGTGAAATGGCGACCCATCCACTAAGAAAAGGCCACCCGTCGAATCTACATAGAATATTGTGCCCTTTTGATTGATAAATTTCGAAAATTTACTTCCGACTAGCAGATTGAAAAGAGGAAGATAGGAAAAGCTATCAAGAGCCAAATCATGTGATTCTTTGTGGAATTTTTCGATCATCTTCTTTTGTGATTCGATGTCTACAACACCTTCAGATTTGTCGGCTACATTTTGCAGATTAAAAAAATTGGATGCTAGAAAGTGAGTTCGAAGGTAGTTGGCAAAGTTGCCCTGGATGAATGGCTCAATTTGCGGAGACACTTTCGTTAGCACTTGAAGTAAAGTGTGTGTGTGTGTGTAATTGCTCTCCAACAACGGACTTGTGGCCATCATTACGGGAGAGGCAAGTGAGGGTGAAGTGATGCTTCAGTGACCAAAACAGCACCGAGTCGAGCGGGAACAGGCACCGAACAGGGCAGATCGATTCAGACCGGCGGAAGTGCAAGGTGGCCCACGGTGGATGTGCCAATGAAGTCGTTCTTCCCGCCAGAGTACCGAGGCAAATTGAGTTAGCTCGATGCTTTGTCAGGCACTGCAGACACTGCGCTCCATTCTGCTGTGATGCAACGCACAACGTACTCTCCGAACGACTCTAGATTTCGGGGCGCGCCAAACACGAAAATTGGCATTAGGCAGGCACGACATGCCTCTCTGAGGTGGACCATGTTCTGCCGTACTAGGCTTCACTGGTACCCGGGAAAAAACCGATCTTCTGTCTTCAATCTAATCTGCTCTTGGTGCGGCAGTTGGCTGGCGTTCACCGACCGCAAAACACGATGCACAGTAGTTGTTATGCAGGTCGCGTCAATCTAGTGGGAAATGTTCTTGAATATTGAACTAGCGATCGGGATTAGTTTGAATGCAAGTTAATTATTGTCGAGCCAGTTATTATTGCAGAACTTCCTCTGTCTGGGTCTATCCTTTTCGCTTCACTTTACAGCAGTAGTGGCAGGCGGGGCAGACANGAGAGAGAGAGAGAGACTATTATTCAAACTTAAAAATTGCACCGACTGGCGAATGGGCATTGTTTCACAGCTCACTCCTCGCTTGCTCGCAATGGCCAAGTAATTGCCAAGCATCTGATCATTAGAAACTTTACTGCTCAAGTATTAGTTGCCGGGCAGGGGAAGGCATTACATTTGGTATTTAACTGACTACTACCGATTGGTTAGACAAGGCAAATATTTGTTCGGGCTCAAACCATTAGTTCCAGCGGCGATGGCACAGTGCTGAAACTCGTTGAGAAAAGGAGCAGCCGTGTTGAGCAGCCGATGATTTATAGTGCAGTGACTGAGACAGCAGCAGCAGCTACGGCAGTGTGGCAATGCCTCGCTCTATCCAGATTACATACTGCCATTGCTTACCGAGAATACCACATTCACTTAGTGCCTCTACAAAAACGAGCATCAGCTACAAATCGCTCCTCTGCGCATTGATTAGAAATGGCCCAATGGGCACAGGCATACCTTACTGATTGAACCTCAGTGGTGCACTGTGTGGCTTATTTGCAACACCGGAGATTCGCCCGGAACAGGGATAAAAAAGAAGAAGAAGCTAGTGCAAGCCAAGTCAGGACTGTCAAAGCAATTGAATGATTGCTTAGTCGGCTCTCGGACACCAGCACTGACCAGTGTCTGTTTCAGCCATGCTATCGCTAATCTGGGAATAGCAATTCATGTTTGTCTTTGTCAGCATCGTACTTGGCAATCGGTCCTTTTATCTTTTTTGCTGTATTTATAATTAACTATAATATATGAGATTTATTAAAATTTGTACACGGCCCAGTGCGGGTACACTGAGTCTGTTCATTTTAGAGAGCACACGTCTCAAATCACTGCAGCCTATCTAAGATTCATTTTCATGTCAAAGCGTCCGCGCGCTGGAGCATTTCAGGCGGCATGCTTTACGTTCACTACTAATCTATGGCTATTAATTTTTGTCCATTCTCTCCTTCCCTTTTCTTTTGCCTTCCGTTTTTCTTTCCCTGCTTGCCACTTACACCACTGCACTAAGAAGGTTGCCGTCATTTTGCTAAAAATTTTCTATTAACAGCGGTCCATCAGCAGAATGGCCGTGTTAGAGAGGCCGAAAAGAGCAGACACCAGTGCTGCTGACCAGGATGCTCTCACTTGCTCACCACACCACTCTTCTCTTTCTTTGTTTGTCTATTGT